TTCTGTTGTTGTTGTTGCTGTTGTTTTTGAGATGGAGTCTCACTCTGTTGCCCAGGCTGGAGTGCAGTGGTGTGATCTTGGCTCACTGCAACCTCTGCCTTCTGGGTTCAAGTGATTCTCCTGCCTCAGCCTCCCGAGTAGCTGGTATTACCCACTGCCATGCCTGGCTAATTTTTGTATTTTTAGTAGAGACGAGTTTTCACCATGTTGGCCAGGCTGGTCTTGAACTCTTGACTTCAGGTGATCTGCCCGCCTTGGCCTCCCAAAGTGCTGGGATTACAGGTGTGAGCTACCACACCCATCCCACTCCTTTATTCTTAATAAGCTGAATTCATCAGGGATTTCATGGAGCCATCTCCGGCCCATGCTGAAGAAACAGCTGAAAACAGTTTTCACAGAAAACTTGTGACTTAGAAATAGAAGGATGTTTTCTGCTTTAACACAGAGAGGAACTCTTAACAAAATTAAATGAGACAGTTACCATGTTCCATTTTCATCAACAAATCTTTAAAATCATGTAAATTAAACCACTTTAGGAAAAGTGAGAGAGAAAATAGAGGTGAAGGCTAGAAGACCAGCAACTCTTAGGAAGGCAAAATTAAATCATCTTTTTGGAGAAGGGAGAAAGGTGTGAGGAAAAGGTGCCAGTGTCAAAGATGATGAACTGGGAGGTGATGGACTCCTACCGCTCACTGCCTCCTGGTCTTGCCCATGGTTCCTTTCTGACAAGGAAGAATGTCGTCTCTCTTGCAGGGTTTTGTAGGCTTCTGACAGTAATCCATGGAAGACAGCTGTCCTGGGGCCCAGAATGGGCAGTCTGTAGTGAACGCTCTCTGGATGACATACAAGAAGGAAGGAAGGACAAGGACTATTTAGATTCTATTCTTAAAGAAATGCAAAATTACCACAGGCCAACAAAGACTTCTTCAACCTTATAAAACAGATTCAAAATTCACCTAATAATTTGTACTCAAGTGATCCTCCTTTTATTTTTTCTTAAAAAAAGGAAAAAAATGAAAATGCAACAAAAATATTCACCTAATAATTTCTTTTAATAAAATTGTCTTTTCCTCCACAACATTTAAACTTTTACAAATCTTGTCATTGAGACCAAAAGCAGTATCCAGAAACAAAACTCAAGTATTAGACATCATTGCCAATTAAATGAAAAATGAAGATAAAACATGTCTGGTGTTATCATATGAGTCAAAGAGAAAAGAGGATTCAATTCTCAGGAGACTTTTCAAGGACACATAGATAGTTCTGTTCTTTAAAAAAATGAAAATAAGGAACACGATCTTACAAAAAGGCTACAGTAAGAAGAGAGAGTACTTGCATTTCAAAAGAAATCTGTATTTTGTGAAATAATTTATTTTAGGGTTCTTTAAAATCCTCACCCTACCTCTTCTTCAAATATGATTTATTAGAAGTTGATTAATATTCACTTTTTCCAGAAGACAGATTACTTGAAGTGTGGTAAACCAGTGTGTGAAATAACAGCTTCCTGTTGGGAACCACTGAGTGACTAACAGAGCTGGTACTCTTAGCTCTCTGGAAAAAGCTCCAGAGAACAAGGTCCAACTGAATGAAGGGTAGAGACATTACATGATCACAAACCTTGGATCCAGTTCAGTCTCATCACTGTAATGAAGACGGAACAGCAGTCCAAGGTCACAGGTACTAATGGACTAAGAACTGGAACTCAGATATCCTTAATCCTAACCCAGTGAGTGCTCTTTGTGTTGTATCATACCGCTGTGTGGCCAGGTGGTAGGCCCACATTAGGTGGTTAGCATCTGTACTAATGTTTATTGAGATTAAGAGCCCATGGGTGTCATGGGATTCTGGGATCGGGCCAAAGATTCATGAGCCCAGAAGGAATCCCCATCACTTGTAAAGATAATTTCTTTCTGTTTTCTTAGTTGTCATTAAAAATTATTGATAATATGTAAGGATAAGCAGAATCCAGAAAAAGTGCTAGCAATCGTTGCTGTGACCAACAGATGAGTTAGAAAATCATTGGCGGTAATGTTGTTCACTGGGATGAGTCAGCCACTTAGTATTTGTAGCAATCCACAGGGAACACAGCACAGGTGGCAGGTGGCTTCAGCAATAAGCAGCAAGTACCACAGTATAGGCATGTCTAAGCTGTATAAATCAGCAGGGCTAAGGCAGTGTCAGCAGTTTTCCTGGGTCAGTCAAAGGTGAAGGCCACTTGTGCCGAAGGTCTAGCTTTCAGTGGGACAAAATGCTACTCTGGTTTTACAGGTGGGAACACAGAGGCCAAGCCTATACAGCAAGACTAGGATCCCTACCAAGGTCTCATCACTTCTAGGCTAGTGCTTTCTTCATAACCTCTAAGAGCACATACAAGAGCGAAGTCAGCTCAGAAGGGTCACGACTATAATAAACAGCAGATCTACCAAGTTTCAGCTCCTAGCCAGTTTTACAACTACTCTCCCTGTAGTCCCACCTCTGAGATTACTGTCGTGGGATGAACTCTATGGACAAGAACCAGGGTCATCCAAAAATATAACATGCTCTTCCTATATATGCAAAATCTAGTTCTTGAATTGCTAATTGAAGTACACCTCACAGATAGTAAACTGATGAAAGGTATATTATTACACTGTTCTCTGGGATCACAAAATATATTTTTGCTGAGGGAAAGGCAGACAATGGTGTGTGTATGTGTGTGTGTGTGTGTGGATTCAATCCTTCGCAAAGCAGGTCTGAAAAAACCCAGTTCCAAACGAAACTGAGAATGAGGGTGTAGCTGGCACCGATAACTATGAGATCAACTGCACATGCTTATCACCCATGTTCTCTTGGCTTCAAAAGAATGAGGTGGTCATAGACCAGGGAACAGCAGAGTGGGGAGCTTTTATTGGGTGGGTACTCTTAGCTCCAGGCTCTTGGTTCCACTTTGGCTAAGTGAGAGCCATAAACCAGGCTAATATTTTTGGATACATAAGAAGCAATTCATTAGGACTGGAAGATTTTCACTCCACTAGAGTGGCTGTCCCCAAACCTCAGCTGTTATCTGAGTTCCTGGCCCTCCCTTTGGGCATCCCCTCAAGACAGCCCTTCAGTCCTCAAATTTCCTTTCTACATGTCTTTTCGGTTCTGGCCCTAGTCCCCCAGCAATGTCCTAGGATAAAGCTTAGACTTTTCCATATGTATAGAGTGAGGAAATTGATCCTGATTTTCTTTACTGTATATATCAAATGAAAAAAAAAATTCAAGTGGCTTCAATTAATATGGGAGCAAATGAGAAGATGGACAAGGTCACTAAAGTGACAGCCTGTGCTGCAGTAAGCCCTTGAATTCTATTGCCCCAAATAATGGCTCATTCCACCTTCACCAGCCCAGTATTGTCTTAACTAAAAGCTGAGACTTAGGTCAACGCTGAAACCTGAAATAGAGCTGCTTCCCTTGTTTCTATCGACAGCGGGTGAAGATAAGAATAGCACTGGCAGCTGCTGGGAGAAGGCAGGTATTTTAGGGATCTGGTGGGGTGAAAGGTTCAGAGCCTTGGTGAGGCCACTCTGAGGGTGCAGAGATGCAGTTCCCTTTCCAGTTTGATTGGCACCATCAGGACTGACTATAGGGGAACTTTTATTTCATTTGTACTCCATCTCCATGGAAAGTCTTCAGCCATGTGCTGTGGACAGAGCCTAGAAGGAACATGACATGGATAAGGGCAAGTGAGGCCTGAGGAGGCCACAGGTGGGGCTGGAGTGAAAGAAGGGCTGTGAACCAATCCCAGCAGGTCAAAAGACAATACGTGAAAGAGGAAGGGATAGAAAATGAGCATTTGCTCAGGAAATTTAGAACTTATTTTAGAGATTACACTTTCATTCTACAGCATTTTTTTCATAGTATGTTTCACACTATAAGTACTCTAAAAGAAAGCAAACCTGTTGGGATGTCATCATGGAAAGGCTCAGGTGTAGTCTGGACTTTGGGCTGATGAAGACTCATCATTCTGATTAGAAGAAACATGAAAACACATTAGTTAATTGGCTAGGACTTGGTAGGAAGAAATGTGTCTTTACACATTTATTTATTTGTTTGTTTGTTTGTTTGTTTATTTATGAGATGGAGTTTTTGCTCTTGTTGTCCAGGCTGGAGTGCAGTGGTGTGACCTCAGCTCACTGCAATCTTTGCCTCCCAGGTTCAAGTGATTCTCCTGCCTCAGCCTCCCAAGTAGCTGGGATTACAGGCACATACCACCACACCTGGCTAATTTTTGTATTGTCAGTAGAGATAAGGTTTCGCCATATTGGCCAGGCTGGTCTAAAACTCCTGACTTGAGGCGATCTGCTCGCCTCAGCCTCCCAAAGTCCTGGGATTACAGGTGTGAGCCACCGCACCAGGCCTCTTTATACATTTTAAACACATATGATTTCTTGAATCCAGCACCTGTTAACCTGGTGATCAGGCCACTTTCTAGTAGTGTGAGACGATTAGTCCAAAGACTACTCATTCTCAACCTTTTGCTTAGTGTTGTTTTCGTGGATTTTGATAAAACCTTCATTTTGAATGTTTTATTCTACTGTCAGAACATATGTGGTCTGAAAATAGAAGGAATAAAGGAAAGAGTCCTCTAACTTCCAGAAAAATATAACAACTCTTCAAGATCAATAATCTACCCTTAAAGAGTAAAGCTGAAAAAAGATTTCAGTTAGAATCTTTCCATTTCAGAGAAAATGCTCTGACCACATCCTGTTTCTCCTGGTGGCCAAAGCTGTGGAGGCGACCCTTGAGCAAAGTACATATAAGCCAAAAACCACTTCTACATTAGTTTAAAAATTGCTTAATTTCTAAAGACTGACACATCTGTAAACTTTAATGGGCTATCTAAGGCTCTACATTCATTTCATGGCTTCTACTTCCACAAAGATCTTCCATGATTATTCTTGCTTTGCTACCAAAAATATAACGAGTGCAGCCAGTTTGCTTCAATCAATTATCACCGAGATTGAGAAAAAGAGAAAGCAAAACGCCTTCTATTACCTCTTTTGGGCAAACAGGCAGATGGTATGTTCAGGGCTAAATAGTTTAAGATCTATCTATTCCTTTTTTTTTTTTTTTTTTTTTTTTTTTGAG